CTCTACTAACATTCGAAATCGTAGTTTTTAAGTGCCCTACAGTGACTTGCCAAAAACCCCTCTAAATCGCCCAACGGCAGCTTTTGAGGAAGAACAACAGATTTCCGTAAAAGTGAAACTTCGGAAAAGTTAGAGGAAGTCGAGAAAATTGAGGGAGATGGTAAGTATGATGGGGAAGCTGGGGGTTTAGGGGTCGTACCAGAGGAGGAAATTTCGAGGGGAAGTGCTCTGTTTCAAGTGAAAGCTTTCAACCTATTTCATCTTCCCTCCCGTCAGTATGGCACTATGTTACCGGTTCCTCATAGAAAGGGGAGGATTGGCTTCGATGCGAGCCGACCACGCTTTTGTCCCTCGGACCGCGTGCATGGTAAGCGACACCCAGCAGAAACCCTGCTCTTCGACTTCTGTCAGAAGCAGAATTTTTTCTGAAATTTTCAGAGCTATAGCTTCAAGCAGTGAAATGCAGCGCTTCCACTCAGACTTCTTTTACAGGGGCGAACGATTCTTCTATCCCAGGCCAGTCACTGGTCAGAGCACTCGTCCTACCTATGATTGCAAATGCGGTGAGAGATATGGCTCCCGAAAGGTGAGTGCCTTGTTGGTGCACCATAATATGGTCCCACGAACACATGTCCAAAGCGAAAAAAGGCAAACTATGGTGAAAGAAAAATAAACATTTCTGAACACAACTATAAAATATTATAAGGCATCGAATATTGCTGACCCACAGACCACTAATTCAAACGACTTCAGGCCTTAATACATCACACCATACAAAATCATGATGCTGACGTACCATGCTTTGCTTGCAATCAGGTTTGCTTCAGTCTTTCATTTTTATCACAGGTACATTATTATTTTGGTCCTAGCTGGAAATAGGAGTGGCCGACGAGACCGTGCTACCCGCCTTTTCTACTCAACTACGTCCACACATTAAATATAATCCTTGGATTGGCGGCCTGGCGGCTCGTCGTCCGACGATCTCTAATCAACTCGCCTGCATATTGTCGGCGACTGGCGAATAAGGCTGCGTCAACTTGCGGCAGTCCCTTATGTTCTGTATCTATTTTTCTATGTCTTGTATTTTAATTTCTTATCCCGTCAGCGTCAGCGGACAAAATATTATCTGTATTATTTCTGTCTCTCAGCGTCCAGGAGTACGGTATTGTGTAGTGGTACGGTGCGGTTGCACAATTTCACGGTGCCTGATCCAGCTGTCTCCTCCTTCCTACTTCCCCATACCCTCCCAGCAGTCTGCTACCCTCCTACCCATACTCTCTACTCCTGGTCGCTGGTGGACGCTATATCGAGGTAGATGCGATATCCATAACTTCCTAGTCCCTCGAGACGCTGATGGTCGCTGACGGACGTTGTGGACGCTGGCAGACGCTGGTAGACGCAGCCGTTCGCTACCGATATCTATACTTTCCTGCAGAGACGTAAGAGAAAGTCGATGCACCTCTTACCCTCTCTGCCTGAAAGCGTCCACAGATACGCACCCGGTGACGCGCTAACAACCAACAATAAGTGCGTGGACACGCCCTTTCCATTTCTGGGTCTAAGGCATGTACGTTGCGCTATACTGTTTTCAGACAATAGCATCTCTCTCGCAATTGATGGAGCATATCAAAACAGAACACGAAAAAGCTCTAATTGTATGTGTCTACTGTAAGGTGAGCTCTTCGTTGAAGCTCTTATTTTTCCCCTATATTTTCTGTTTTATTTATATATTATGTAATGTTTAGTCTGTTTTCGGAAAAGCCAACGACATGACCGAAAACCAATGGAAGCGGCTCAAAACACATATGTATGGAGTAAGTTGTCCTAAGACTTTTCAAGAAGTGAAAAATCCTCCATAGTCTTATTGTGCTATAGTCCAAGGCGGTGAACATACTAATGTTTATTGGCCTCCAGTTTTTCCACAGCAGCATTTTTCTACTCTTCAGGAACTTGTGTACGCAAAGCTAGCCGAGATGGAGGACGACTAATGCTTCCTGAGCTACCAGTCCAGCTGTCGACTGACGGTGTTCTGTGCCAATTAGTGTAAGGCTGAGTTAACTTCTGGTGAATACCTACTTTTTCTGTGTCCTATGCGATGTTGTCCGGTTTCACAATCTGGACCGCACTTTCAGCGTTTGCATACAGTCGTTTCCGCTGCAGACGCTGGGGCGTGTCAGGGAGCTGGGTTTAGCAGGCACTAGCTCAATTTCCAGCAATCGTTGAAACGGGCGAGCGGCAAGATTTATAGGACTGGTTGGCGGTACTTCAACTCCAACCTCGCCCCAGACACGCCCCAGTGTCTGCCGCGAAAATAGCTATGTCAGAATGAGTTACAATTACACGTGCTCTAAATTAACGCCCACATTTGATTCTAACTCAGGGAGCGAATTGAATTTTGAAAGTAGCCTTACTGTTTTGATAGTCTCATTTATGTATTGTACGCCTCAGAAACTTAACTTATGCAAGAAGCTATCCCTCCAGTCAGATCATAGAAGATAGCATAATTTTTAAGGCAGTTATTGCCGTCATTTCCATGATTTCTCAGTTCATATGGGTATTACTTGTTTGTTGTTATTGTGTTTTGTGAAGAAAGCTGTCTGTTTCAAATATCAACCCGTGTGTAAATCTTTTCCGTGTGCGATCGGAGAGGCCCGTGGTTGTGGAAAGGGTCGCCACTCAAAGGTGCGTTACAACAAAGCAAGAAGCTCGTGACAGCTGGACGTTCTGCATGTTTCCGCTATACGCAACGAGGAGGCCTCAACACAAATGCGCAACACGCCACACGGCCAGTCTTACTCCTAACCGTAGCCACGCGCGCTACTTATCCGCGCCATCGTATGTGGTTAGAGCACCATTGTGATCTACGACTCTACTTCGGCATCGTGCATTCCCGTGACTGGCTGGGAGCGAAACCACTAAATGGATGTGTTTGCAAGATGAGCACAGCGTGTCGTATGCGCATCGCACTTCGGATAGTGGGTGGAGTCATAACGAACATATAGCCGTCCAGCAACCCTCAGACCTCATTACCGCCCATACTCAAATGGAAAAAGTCGTAC